ATGCTTTTATCTGCTTGCCTGCATTAAGCCAGTGTGTGCCGGTGACACCCCGCAGACCACGGCCAGCATGCCTCCTTTCCTTGCATAGGCGTTGGAGTTACACAGAGAGCAGGTAAATGGCTCATTCAATTCATTTCTATTGTTTTCATGGGCTGCTAAAGTGAGCTTGAGAAAGCCAAGTGCTGTTTTCAGGAAGACTGCACCCTCCTCCCCAGCACCACGCAGTTCATGGCCAAAACGAGACTTCCAGGCTCCACTCTCTCCTTCCATGAGCCTTCAGGCAGGCAGGGTTGAATCCAATCTCTGAGTACTGCTGCAGATGCAACTCATCTTGTACAAATATTTAATGAAAAATGCATTAAAGCAGTACAAGCGTGAAGTTAAGTATTCTCAGAACACATAAAATACCAGCTTAAAAGCACCATTGCATTGCCAGATGCATCGCTGCCATCATGAGAAAACTAAATATTGAAATAAATAGAGCAGCACGCATTCACAGCTGGAGGATGTATCACAGACTGATCTATTTCAGCTGAGCAAAACACAGAAAGGAGTACTGTAGAGGCAAACAAATAGGTCTGGATTAGATGACCAGGCAGCTCACTCCTGGTATTACATTTCTAACTGCAGACAAAGGCCTGCGTACCCAGCGAAAGCCACTGCTGGGCAGCGAGCCTCCCTGGCATACACCATGGATAAAGAAGCCCTGCCATTTATCCCCAACAGGGTTACAGATTACACAGAAGCACAGCCAAAGGCTCAGCAATCACGTATGTGTCAGTGTGACCGATGAGCCGAAGTGACGGCAGACGCTGCAGAAGAGATGTGGAATGCTGGATGTGAAATGCTTCTGCTGAGCACACCTCCTGCATACCTCTGGGGTGGAAAAGGGTTTATTATTACCTCCAGTGTCCAGCTGTAGCACAGTCTGCAACTATTTGTTTCGTGGAGGAGCTCTGGCAGACACGAGTTTGTACACCTACAAACAGTCTCGTGTCACCCATGCCCTCCTGCAGTGGCAGCATCTTAGAAATCACTGGTTGCTTTTTCATCCCTTAAATTAACTGTATGATTGCAAAGTGACAGATGTACTTACAGACAAAGATCTAACCAGAAATATACATATGCTCTCCAATACATTAACAGGATTATTTAAAATAAAAGCATGTTCCTTGGGCTTCAAAAGCAGTGAGAACCAAAACCCACCCACCTCCCCCCCAGTGATGGACTTAAGGTGGCTATGAATCTGCCAAAAAGCACTAACTCACCTCATTTCAAGAAATCAGGCGTAGTTTTGATAGGTAAGTTATTAAAGTTTGTAAAAAGTGTTAGCACAAAGCATTTTTAGGTTTATTTAAATAAAAATTATAATTTATACAAGACTTTTTAAACAAACAAGATTTTCTTAAAAAATGTACAGGGCAAATCATTTCATTATTTCAATTCTTCATACAGTATAAGTCTTTTGTCAAACAAAAGTTACACTGATAATGAATTATTTACAACTTCAAAATATAGACTCAAACTTCAGACATAAAAATTTTAACATCCATTATATTTCAATGATTAGTAGAAATTAAACATCTGCCAAAATGTACAGAATTCAATAAAAACTACCAGTGTTTTTAATACAAGTTTAAGTAGCCAAAAAAAAGTACATCCTTTCATCTCTTCACGATTGGGTAAAATCTCTTTTCTCTTTGTCTGCAGGAACAAGGGTCGGGTTTTGCTGCTGGCATCCTGTGTGATGTTGCTACTAATAGCTTGTTTCATTCAATCTTGCCTTACAAAAGCTACAGTGCACGGAAAGGCATGATTTCATATTTCAGCTTTTTTTGCCTTTTGAATTTAAATGGTCACTGATAAAGAATTAAAGCAGTCAGTTTTCATCTCCCTTTTTTTTCTTCTCTTTAAAAGGGACTCAAACTAACCAATGCACTTCTAAAGAAGTTAAATCCAATTACATGTGAATGATCCAGCAATGAACCACAGACATCGACAGAATTGCAAATATAAACAGCAAACAGACAGAATGACAAGAACATCACTTTCCGCTATTAGAAAGTAGCACTTTACATTAAGTGGTACGACCCAGCCTGTTACTGAAGTACAGCAGGCTATACTGCAAAACTACATAGGAAGATTGGAATTTAAGGTGAACTTCAGTGTAATTATACAAGTCAAGTATACACTTACTCACTGTCCATCCCTTCCTGCCCTCCAAACCTGTGAGGGTGTAGCAGGAGGAAAAGCACAGGAGTACCTGCGAGCAAACACACCAAGGTTATCTTCTTGTGTCTCTGATGTTACATACGCCACAGGAGAAGTTCTGTAGCAGGAACCTGGACAACCCGATGTAAAGTGAACTTTGCAAAATATGTACATAGATGTTTGTCAGTTATATTACAACTCTATTTTTTTTAAAAAATCCAGTCTGTTTTGTATATATTAGAATGAAACAATGTTGCATTGCAGTTTGCACTAGGTTTACTGCTTTAAGAATTGCTAATTTTTACATTCGCACTGTTAAAGTGCAGATTAATTTTAAACGTCAACACCTCAGATTTTGTAAGAAGTTTATAATTTCTTTGTCCAGAAAAAAAATTTTAAGACCATATTGTACACGAGGCATTTCAGTCTGGGAAAAGGATAATGATTTCTTTTCTCCCTCTCCGAAGCCTAGGTATGGTTAATTGTCCTGGGACCATCAGCATAGGACCTATAGCTCCTCCAGGAACCAGAATCTAGGACAACCCTATAGACTAGGGTCAAGCAGTGAAGGGTGGGAGGGGGAGGAGGTAATAAGCGCAAGTCAACTGATTTCCTACTGAAACTGCTGTTATGATCAGAGTGAAGGTATAAATTACACTTGAAAAATGATACAAAAATAAGAAAAAGACCATGCTCTCCGTAAAAAATATAGTTTTCTGTTTCTTCAAAAAAAAGGATAACCTTAAACATACCCAGGGGATTTTTTTCTTAAGACAAAATGAATGAATCAGATTAGAATTTACATAACATTAAGCGATTTTAATGCCTACTTGTTAGCCACACTTACTATTCAAGAAAGCTTCTAGAAAGGAAAGCCAAATGATAATACACAGCAGTTACAAAAAGAGATTAATTGATTTTAAAGTAAGCTTGATGAGAAAAATTAAAGATCAAGGATTTTTACTTAAACATAAAAACCTGAATGTGTAAACTGAAGAAACCATAAACTGCCAAGCTAATCCATATTACACGGTGGCAAAATGGATTTCCCACCAGCTTCACTTATATTTTAAGTTTTCAGGCTCTGAGTTACACCATACCGAAGGAGGTGTCAGAAATGCACTCCTTTTTAAGGTCACGTAGAGACACGTTGAAGTGCTACTCTAAAGGGAGAACTCAAAAATAGCATTTTAGCCATTATGGTGGATTCTGCCCCGTTCTTGTTCACATTTCCACTCAGGGCACAGAGTTTTACCCTGTCAGTGTTTCACTTTACAATACCCAACCACATCACAGTATTCAACAGTAATTCTTCATATCAAGTTCATACTAAGTTCTTCATATCATACCTCTTCATGGCCAGACTGAAATAAGGTTTGTACCATTTGACTGCCACCTTCTTCACTACTGCTGCATTTGTTGAGAGATTTTAATTAAAAACTGTGCTAAGAGTTAAACACCCTCTGGTGTTTGTCTCCCCTCT